GAAAAAAAGTATATTATAATGAGAATAAATTTAAGGTTCCTTTAAAAAAAGAGAGAGCCCATAACCACAGACTGAACTGACAAGAATCAGATTGCATTTGGGTATTAACCACCGCTAATTTCTAGAATGGCCCTTGTGTAAATGGCTGGCCTCTCCCCCACCCGCCCTCCACCCCACTCCCTTTTAAAATATGCTCAACCTGGCTGAAAAACCTGTAGGGAAGCTCAGCAGGATCTCAGACAAAGCAGGAATTTACTGGGGTTGGAAGGATGAACAAAGCATGTAAAAACAGATGTGTGGTGCATTTGGATTTCTAAATCTCCACAAAAGGGGTTTTGTTTTGTTTGTTTTGTTTTTGAAAGTTGGTAGACTTGTCCACTGGCACTAAATAGGGCAGCTTTATTGATTGTGGATCCTGTCACCTTGACAAGGCATTACTGAAGGCAGTGAAGCCTGACTTTGGATTCCCGTTTTGTACCCACTCCCCCATCCTCCCTTATCCTTTAGCTCTTTCTTCCTCCGAAATTTCAATCTGCAGGTGTCTGAATGAAAAGTACTTACAGGTCACAGGAACAATGTCAACAATTTCACAAGATTACTGCAATTTAAAGCCTGAAAAATCACATTTCAGGTCATGTCACACCGGCACCACCAATTCTGCACAAATTATGTGTTAAACTCATACGTTTTGGATTTCATAAGAACTGTTTTAAAATGTTTCCTTACAATCTGACACTGATTTGCCAAAATACCATTATTCTAAAATGCTCTGAGCTAAGCTTGCAATGAAGTTGCCATCCTTAGCAATTATCTTTCCAGAGCACTGTTAACAGCTTGATCCTCCATATCAATCAGCTAGACCACTCAGATGAAAAGAACAGCTTTTGTAAATGCAGAACGGTGCCTAGGTCAGTGGTTCCAGCCCTGGCGTACATTAAAATAATCTGCATAGTTCTGTAAAAATAACTATGCCTAGCCCTTCTGATTAATTGATCTGAGATGGGAAATTGGCACAACAAAAATCTTAAAAGCTCCCCAGATGATTCTAATGTGCAGGCAAGATTAAAAACCACATGCCAACATTAAGGATGGCTTGGGCTTGGCTTCCATCTGCACCTGTCTTTGTAAGTTGTGTTTTTTTTTAAAGGCTGTTAACACAAGGGCTAATTTTTTAAAAATCATTTTATTAGGGGCTCATACAACTCTTATCACAATCCATACACACATCAATTGTGTAAAGCACATTTGTACATTCATTG